CACCCCACCCCCCATGGAGAGTGGCAGACCTGTAGGCTGCATACAAAACAAGCGGCAGCTTCCCTGCTATACATTTAGCAATGCTTGGCCAAAGCAGGGCTAGATGTAGAAAACAACTACACACCCGTTGCTCAGAACTGCATGTCCCAGGCATCTGGAGATAGAAATTCCACACCCCTGCTGCCCCTCTACTCCCTGCTGCCCCGAGGCCGGGCCTTGGTTGGCCTTGTGGGTAATTCGGCCCTGCATACCGGGCTCCTGAGATTTGTACATCTCTGTTTTGATGTATGATTTCTTTCTATAAGTATATACAGGTGAAACTCGAATAATTAGAATATTGTGCAAAGTTCATTTATTTCACTAATGCAACTTAAAAGGTGAAACTAATATATGAGATAGACTCATTACATAGTATAAGCATGCATATGTACTAAATACTTGGTTTGGGCCCCTTTTGCAGCACTTACTGCAATTACTTTTGCACCATATTCTAATTACTCGAGTTTCACCTGTATAAGGGATGCACCGATACCATTTTTTCAAGTACAAGTACTGATACTTGTCACATGACACTAAACAAAAATGTATCAGTACTTGTATCTGTGAGGACTTGGACAAGTACTGATACTTGTCCAAGTCCTCACAGATACAAGTACTGATACATTTTTGTTTAGTGTCATGTGACAGTTTTTCTAAAACAATACAGACTAATGATTTCAGGACAGTGGTGGAGCGCCAGAGCCCGGTCCCATCTGCAACCTATTCAATCATGGTAGTTGGCAAGTATCTCTCTGCACTGGTATCTGAACATCCCCAGTAATAATGTTTTGTATGGAGCCCCCAAACTATACTTTTTTAGAGGGACTCTGCAACCCCCTCCCTCCCACTTTCTTTCGAGTCCAGGTTAACATGTTCATGTTGTGGTAACGCCACCTGACTTGGCATGAAAGGTGGTTGTGTGGTTTTATTTGTCATCAGGTGCAGGAAACAAACATCTCACAACCACTTGTTAGACTTTCTCCCGAGCTGGTTGGCATTCATTGCTCATTATGCTTCGGTCTACATCCCTCAGAGGTCACTTACCATGGTGTAGTTCTTATCGGCAGTGTGCTGATCCATATACTTCGGGGTGCCCAGGAAAGGCAGCGGGGTGGGTCCAGGAGGCAGCCACCTGTAACGTCTGCGCTGTCTCCACCATGACATGACACAGTGGAGGGTGATAAGGAGGGTGACGAACAGAGCGAGGATTGGGGAGAATTCCATCTTCCTAGTAGACAAAGACACCAACATCAACTGTTGCAGTGGCCAATATTCCTCCCTCTATATAGTCCATGTTCACCTCTTTGCAAACACAACTCTGACTCAGTTAGATTTCACAATTCTTTACTCTGCATTGTCTCAAACTTTTCATGCTGCACATTGACATCATTGGTTAGTGTAACTGGTGCCCCCCCCCCTGAAGGAATGACTCACATAGGAGAGACAACAAAATCTCTCAACAAATAAATGACCAACATATGAGTGTAAATTCCACAAAAATGGATGCTATTTCCAGAACCATGAGGAGTGAAATAGGTCATTAACGTCAAACTGGAACAACCATCTCATGGACTTCGACTCAGCCGATCCTACATCTGGATCAGCTGAGCCGACAGCCCCTATTCACATAGGTACCGCCGTGGTAACGAGCAGAATAGCAAATCAATGAAAATAGTTTTTTTTTAAAGTTCAAAAAAAATATTTAAAAAAATGGAGTTAGGGTTGCCACCTGTCCGGGATTCACCTGGACAGTCTGGGTTTGGAATCCTGTGCTCGGGTGTCAGCCCACCTCACCCCAGGGCACATTATTTTCACCAAACTTGTAGCTAGAGACGTAGCATACCTCGCTCCAGTCGCCGAGTCCCTCAGCTCTCCATCCCTTTGTTTCTCTCCTCCGTGGCTGGGACTGGTGGGAGGAAGTGACATCGGGGACTCGGGAGAGAGGGAGAAGTCATCCTCCGGCAGCCTGTTCTATCATTTCATTGGGCCCATGACTTCATTGGACCGCTGTCCGTCCGTGCAAGCGCACTGAGGCACCAGGTCCAAAAGTGTCACGGACCAACATAGCTTATAAGCGTGTAAAGGGCTTGGCTGTCCATGCAAGCGCAGTGCGGAACCCCGTCTGTAAATCTCACAGACCAACAGAGTTTAGCAGCGGTGTTCTATGCAGAACTCTAACCAACTACCACGCATGCTGCAGTTAGTCTTGACATATACAGTATATATATATATACTGTAACCACTGAACCATCACGTTCTCAAACAATTCATCCCCACACAGCTCCCTCCTCATGTATCACTGGCCCCTCCCTTGTAGATTGTAAGCCCTCAGGGGCAGGGCCCTCCTTACCATCTTGTCTTGAATTGTATTGTGATTGTAATGTCTTCCTTATAATGTACAGCGCTGCGCAAACTGTTGGCGCTATATGAATCCTGTATAATAATAATAGTCTGTCATAGTTCTGGATAGAATCCCGCTGCTAAACTCTGTTGGTCTGTGAGATTTACAGATGGGGTGCCGCTCTGCGCTCGCGTGGTCAGCCAAGCCCTTCACACGCCCCCGCTCACAGCCCCGGAAGTCCGATGAAGTCACGGGTCGATGAAATGATAGAACACCGGCTCCACCACTCGCGTTCGTCTCACTGACTGAGTCTCTACTAACTAAAATATCAATTGAAAAGGGGGGGGGAGGGGGGTGGTTAGTGTTGCACATAAAACATGCCCCTATAAAAAAAATGCAACAGGTAACCCATGACATCTTTTGTGGGGAACATCTTTTATGTGCAATAGTACAGATCGTCCAATACAGATGTCACCAGCACCAAGATTCCATGTTAGTGAAAAATCAATTTATCCATTTTATTGAAGGGGACCCTACGCGGCCCCGAAAGCGCTTGTCGTTTGAATGACAACTATCAATAAAATGGATTTGCACTAACATGGAATCTTGTGCTGGTGTGCTGATGACATCTGTATAGGAGTTCTGTTGTGAGCGGTTCCATCCGCAGTCATCACAAGAACCCGTTATTTATGGGATATATGATAAGGAGTGCGGCAAGGTATAAGGATAGATACTGCTTTGTATAGTACATATCTGGGGACCTGTGGCACACTGGCATATTATGGGGGCATGGTTTATGTACAGAATGTATATCTGGGGACCTGTGGCACACTGGCATCTTATTGGGGCATCTTTTATGGACAAAATGTATATCTGGGGACCTGTGGTACACTGACCTCTTATGGGGCATTGTTTATGTACAGAATGTATATCTGGGGACCTGTGGCACACTGACATCTTATGAGGGCATCTTTTATGGACAAAATGTATATCTGTGGACCTGTGGCACACTGGCATCTTATGGGGGCATCTTTTATGTACAGAATGCATATCTGGGGACCTGTGGCATACTGCCATCTTATGGGGGCATGGTTTATGTACAGAATGTATATCTGGGGACCTGCGGCACACTGACATCCTATGGGGGCGTGGTTTATGTACAGAATGTATATCTGGGGACCTGTGGCACACTGACATCTTATGGGGGGCATAATTTATGTACAGAATGCTTATTTGGGGACCTGTGGCACACTGGCATCTTATGGGGGCATTGTTTATGTACAGAATGTATATCTGGGGACCTGTGGCACACTGGCAAGTTGTGATTAACTCCATATGATCTGTGATACATTGTGATTAACTCCAATGTTATTTAATCACACAATATATGCGTAGTGTATACTTTACAAAAAATATTGCCGCGAGGCGCTACAGTGTTCGGGTTTGGCTTGAGGAAAAGGTGGTGACCCTAGGTGTGGATAGAAGGTTGGAAGATTTCTGCAATTTATGACTGCACTATACTGGGAGGAATTTATTACTTTAGCTGGTTATATACACAAAATGTCGGATGGATTTATGATCCAATAATATACTCAGCACCTTTGAAGATTAACGGGATCAGCTATATGTTAAAGTACACTGTAGGTGTTTTCATATATTGCACATACTAGTATTGTCCCGGGCACATTTATAATTTATTTATGATTATATTTGTATATGTTTTATGTCCTATGGTTTCTTGAATATTGGAATTCAAGACCCTTACACTATAGAGGGAGGATTGCATATAAGTATTTTGCACTATGTGCATGAGGGATCACATATGATAATTGGATTGGGATATATACACATACTGTACAGATACATGTGTGGCCATTCACATTTGATATTTAGTAGGGTCACGTAATAGTTTAGTGCAGTGCTGTTTCTATTTTTTAGAGGAGCAGCATTGTGACCCTAGCCTGCACCCCTGAGTTGGACTGCAAAAATCTCCCCTTCCCCCTCTCCATTACATAGAGGAGCATTGCTGTGCAGTTCATGGAAGATAGTGAAGAAAACCGATAACACTTTGGGATTTCGGTTCAGAACAGAGAAAGTTACAAGGGCACTGGACAGAAAACGGGGGCTTGGAGAAAACTAATGCAGCCACCACGTCAAGGGACCGGAAAGCTGCAGTATATTACATTGCTGTCCTTGGTTTTAGATACACTTCAAGCTATCTGTAAAAAAAATAAATCAAGGCAACTGGACTTCCTGTACGTTTCGCTGGTTATCCGACTAGCTTTCTTATTTCATAATTGAGAAAGCTAGTCGGATGACCAGTGAAACATCTTCAAGAACAATGCAGCAAGTCCAGTTGCCTTGATTTATTTTTTACAAATATACCATGACCTGGATGATTGAGAACCTTCACAGACATACACTTTAACCTGATCTTATGTATAGCTAAAAAATGCATTAAAAATGCCTAATTTCCACGTTTAAAGGGTTGTATGGAAAATGTGCAAATGATTACGGGGTACGCACAATAGGAAATGCTCCTCAGCTCCATCTAGTGGCCATAATGGTGTGTGAGTGGCATTCGCCCAGCTATACGCTGGGTGAAAGTTTCCTACATCTAACGTAATGATGTTATAAAGGTGGAGTAGTAGATACAGTGTGATGGTCTCATCCCTGCCTAGAGAGTACTCATTGTCATTACCTTCTCCTTAGTAGAGGAGGGACCCTTGAACACCCCGAGCGGTCGATCAGTACCTCTATATCTCCGTTACAGGTAGCTTGATCGGTCCTGACTGCATCAATTGGATTTGATCCTTGTGAACTGTTTGTTATATATCCTTCTTGAAGATCGTGCTAATGATTAAGCCAGCAGGACCTGTTCACAGTGTTTTTATACCTGTGTTTGTTTGCCTGCCTGACTAGACGTTTCCAATGTCAGGCTGCCTTCACACCTCCGGGTCAACTGAGCAAAATGTGCAGAGACTCTTCCTCTCGCACTCACCAAGAAAGGCCATAGATGAGCAGAAAGTCCCCAAGAGTAAGGTCAATGCAGTGGCTGAACTCTTCAACGATTCCCACCAGCGCTGATGGCGGTCCATGGGTAGTAGTCTACTTCTAAATAGTGGAACATTTTTTGGCACTTCAAGTCCTCAAACAGGAGTCCTTCTACTGATCAACTTTTGGAGCTTTACATGGACTTCTTCATCAGGCAAACAGTGACCAGTGGAGGGGATGATGGAACGCTCCGAAACCTTTCCAGATCAATAAAAGGGTTCCTGTTTGAGCATTAAAAGTGCCAGCGATGGTCCATTATTGAAGGCTTGTATGAGCGGCGCCATATGCTTTGTCATTGAAGCACAGGCTTTGTAACTGTTTGGAGCGCACCTTTCTTTCCTTTACATGTAGTTTAATAATAGATAGGGATGTGCTCAGGTTTGGACTAAACCTGGTCTGAAGCTGAGCTCCTCCAAACACGAAAGGAAACTCCTTCTGCTGCTGCCCCATCAGCTGGGGCTGTTGAATTCCAGCAAAGGGGAAGTCAACAGCCCCAGTAACATCATTGACCTTATTTGGCCACATGACTTTATTTGGTCAATGACATTTACCTAACAGGGCCATGTGACCATATAAAGTAAATGCGTAAGCACAAGCATCCCATCTCTTTGCTTATGTGCAGCTATATCTTGGAAACCGCAGGGTAACAGCCCCAACCCCTTTGACAGCCCCCGTCTTCCCGAGAATAAAATTCTTAAGGGTAACAATAAAGTCACCTCCACCCCCAGTGTCCTTTAGACTTGCAGTAATTATGTCTCCCACAATGAGAGGCTGCAGATTATTGTAGTAGCTCTCTTCATTCCTGAAGACACAGAAAACAGCAGGAGCCATGCTGGATGCTGTAACAGAGCTATCGCCATAGCGACCCAGGTGGCGAGTGAAGCCTGGCCAGGACCAGGAACAAAGGGGTCCCTCTGATGTCGTGCAGGCTGCCTGGGTTGCTATGGCATTGGAGGCTCCAGGACTGTAACTGGTGGCTGTGAGGAGGAACTCACCGCTGTCCAGATCACTGACAACCTTTCAGTGATCTGTGCAGCGGCGCGTTTCTCCTCACAGCCGCTGCTCAGTGACAGCCAGCAGCAGCTAAGGTGGAGGAGGCCCGGTGGCGGTAGTGGCGCTGGTGGAAGATGAGACCGGGGCCTGGTGGCCGAGGAGGCCGGGGCACGGTTGCGACGGTGGTGGAGGAGGAGGCTGAGGCCCAGCAGTAAGTTGATCAGGGCTGACAGGTAAGAGGTGTGCAGGGAAAGGGACCCCGACCAGCCCACCTGAGACCCTGCAGAGCCCACCATAAAGAGTCTATGGTGGGCTCTGCATGGTCACTCTCAGATGGGCTGTGCGGGGTCTCAGGTGCGCTATGCAGGGTGTCAGGTGGGTATGTAGGAACATCCTGTGTGAACTCAGTAGTGACACATAAAGTGGAGTGACTCTAGGCTAGAAGGGGGTGCTAACAAAGTTTGTCCCCGTTCTAGAGCCATGTTACTCCCATATACATTCCCTGCATCTAAGATAGAGAAGATGTAACTCATGTGTAATATATGCACTCCTCACATATGGTCCTCTACTCTCTAAAAACAAGGCCTTACGGTAGGGTTGTCACCTGTCTGGGATTCACCCAGACAATCCTGTTTTTCAGTCTTGTGTCCGGGTGTCAGGCCAGCTGACACCCAGAAACAAGACACTAAGTGCCGATGCCAGCTCTTTTTTGACAGATGCGGCTGCGGAGGTTCCCAGCGAGGACCTCAGGCAGCTGCATCTGCCTGAATTGGCATCTTTTTGTGAGCTGCGGGGTCCTGCAAACAGATGCAGGCCGGCCCACATATCTCCCCCTCATCCGGCCCCTTCCTGACATCATGCTGCCCCCTGGTGAGACCCCCAAACTTTGTACACAGCCCCCATAGCAAAGCCTGCATAGCCCACCTGAGACTCCACACAGCCCACCTGAGACCCAGCATAGCCCACCTGAGACCCAGCATAGCCCACCTGAGAGCCCACATAGCCCACCTGAGAGTCCACATAGCCCACCTTAGACCCAAACAACCATCTGAGAGTCCACATAGCCCATCTGAGACCCCGAATAGCCCATACTAACGAGAGTCCCCAAAGCCCGCATAGCCAACATAGCCCACCTGAGAGAATGCATAGAATGCATAGCCCTCCAGAGAGTCTGCACAGCCCACCTGAGTCTGCACAACCCACCTGAGAGCCTGCTCAACCACCTGAGACCCTGGAGACATCAGGGCGCCACCCCAGGAACAACACTGAGTATGTGGCTTCATATTATTTTGTATTGTTGTATCATGTATTGCTGGGATTTGTAGTCCTCTATAGCTGGTCTCCTTTACTCCCTCCCCTGGCTGTCTCTTCTTGCTCTTTCTCCTAGCTGCTTCTCAACCCCCCACCCCAAAAAAAATTGACCCAAGCAGCGCTAGAGTGCTTCAACAGTGAGAAGAATGTTCAAGACTTTGAGGTCATATTGTGTTTGTGGTCTGTGAATCCTTCTACCTGCCTTGATGGCAGAATTCTTTTAGAATTCTGAGAATTATATGGACATTCCTGGTAATGGTCATTGCTCCACAGTTCATGGCTCACAGTTCCTATTGTGTAAAATGTTTCCAAAAATAGAATTTCCAGTTGGAGCTTATCCTGAGTTAAAATACTGCATGGCATCAGACAGATTTGGTAACATTATTAACTCGGTCATCTACAGTGTCATTCACCTGTACATCATGTTTGTTCTACTCCCCTGCTAATTCCTTATCTCTCCTATCTTAACCCATTATATCCTACCCCCTTCCCTTGTTTACCTTGTCCTTTTTTCTAATTTTATCATGTCCTATGTAGTATAATGGGTATGTGCCATTTGTCACTGGTAGATTCTACCTTTAGTTATGAATTTAGCTTATAAAGCATGCTGTAGCAGTGAGACACCATCCCCAGCACACACACATTGGGGTTACCCTAGTGGGATCCCAACCCCAGCACACAATTTTCTTCCCTCTGAGATCCTTTCTCCAGCAAACGCAGGACAGTGAGATCCCACCCTCAGCGCACAAATGTGTCTTTGCCCAGTGACATCCCACCTCCAGCACACAGATTGGTATTACCTAAGTGGAATCCCACCTCTAGCACAAGCACATTGGTCTTAGCCTAGTGGGATCCCAACTCCAGCACACATCATTTTTTTCCCCTTGAAGATCCTTTCTCCAAACACACACATTGGTCTTTTCTTAGTGATATTTTACTTCTAGCACACATGCACATTGGTTTTTCTTCCATGAGATCCCACCCCCAGCACACACATTGTTTTTTCCCCTGTAAGATCCCTTCTCCAGCATACACATTGGTCTTTCCACAGTTCGAACCCACCTCCAGCACACAGATTGGTATTTCCTAAGTGGGATCTCACCTCCAGCACAAGCACATTGGTCTTTCTGCAGTGAGATCCCACCTCCGGCACACGCATTTTCCATTCTTCCCTCCATAGACTCCTCACTCTGTAGCACCTCAAGCTACCATCACACATATTGCATGATAAACATTGTGCATGTTGCTTTCTGAGCCTGGACACAAATACTGACGGCTCAGCAATCAGAGTGAAGCTCGGGAAGATTCTCATTCCTTTTCAGCAACCATAATGGAAGAGTAAGGGAGATGGTTTGTATGAAAGAATCAATATTGAAGTATTGTAGTCTGAAATTGTGTGTATGTGTAGTGGGGGAGTGTGTGTGTGGGGGGGATAGCTCTATACTCTGCACAACCTGGTCTTTGAGGTCTCTTGTTGACGGCACTAAGGTTGTGATAGGTCACCAGTTAACATTACTGTATATAATCTGTCCCCAATCAGTAGATGTATACCCCCTTGGTCATAGGTGATCAGAGACCATTCATCCAAGGAACATCTCTAGAAGCTCTGCATGTTCCTCATGTTCTTATGAGACCTGCATTTTTTTAAGACCACCAAAAACATGGAAAACATAAAGAGACACATAATGGTTTCTTTTCTGGCTGTTGTATACTGGCTGTTTTTCTGGCTGTTGTTTTTCTGGCTGTTGTATACTTTCTATTAAGTTCTAAGGACATGTAATAGGGAAATCCCAAACTTCTTAAAGCTGCGATTGGATGCATCTTTCATAATCTTCCGATTTCCATAGTGTTACTTTCATTACAAAGGACGTAATAGTGATATTCCATGATAGGTGTGTTAGGGTCTCTGCCCGCTTTTACTTTCTCTGCCCAATTTGTACTATAACAATCAACTGATAAAATGTAAAATTTATTTGGTGACAAATACATATACACAAAAGAAACATAAAATATCTTACATTAAGTATTCCACAGGACCAAATTATCACAATCAACAATCTGCACACATGTGCTAGACATAAGAGCAAGAAAAGAAAAACACGGGGGAAAAAAAAATCTACATTTGTGGAAATTTACCAATTTACATTGGTGGTCAAAGGCAATATCCCCTTACATTGCTGGTCAGTGGATAAGTGGCCCCTTACATTGGTGGTCACTGGAAGATGTGCCCCTTACATTGGTAGTCAGTGGAAGACGGGCCCCTTTACATTGGTGGTCAGTGGAAGAAGGGCCCCTTACATTGGTGGTCAGTGGAAGACGGGCCCCTTACATTGGTGGTCAGTGGAAGACAGGCCCCTTACATTGGTGGTCAGTGGAAGAAGGGCCCCTTTATATTGGTGGTCAGTGAAGTACATTTGCAGTCAGGGCAGGACAAGGCCAACCAAGGCCAGGCCTTGGGGCAGCAGGGAGTAGAGGGGCAGCAGGGGTGTGGAATTCCTATCTCCCGACGCCCAGGAAATACACTTCCGGGTGCCGGGCGGGAAGTTGTCTTCTACATTTAGCCCTGCTTTGGGGAAACAAAAAGCTACATGTACATCAGGGAAGCCTCCCATTTGTTTTGTACAAGTAATCCCGGTGATGTTGCCGAGATCATTTGTATGCAGCCTGCAGGTCTGCCATTCTCCATGGGGGGGTGGGGGGGGTTGGCCGGCAGGGGGGGCGCATTGAGGAACCTGGCCTTGGGGCAGCAGAGTGTGTAAATCCGGCCCTGTTTGCAGTTAGTGGAAAAAATCCCCCTTAATTTGGAGTTCAGTGGGAAAGTGCCCCAGTACACTGGTGGTCAGTGGTGTAGGCCCCCCTTACATTGCTGAACATTGAGGAAAGGGCCTCCTTACATTGGTGATCAATGAACAATTTTCCCCTTTACAGTAGTGATCAGTGAAGAAAGGCCCCATACATTGGTGGTAACTGGGAGAAAAACACCTTTAAATTGGTAGTCAGTGGAGAAGAGTCCACTTACATGTCCTTGAATGGTGTTTGCCTACCATTTTGTGAACATAACTTGGATTAAACATTTCATTAAGCATTTTTTTGCCTGGTCTATGGATGGATATGAGGGTGCTGTATTTTTGTTAGGAGTACATATATTATACATCTGTATTGCATGTCTATAATTTGTCTCTCAAGTAGTAGGGTGTAGAGCAGCTTTGTTATTTCTTGGCATTGGCTGCACTTCATATGTGTAACTATTTCTACATGAGTGGGGTCCCCGCCAAACATTTCTGACATTGTTTTTAATCCAATGTTTTAGAGACATTGGATTAAAAACATGCTAAAGTTCTACGTGTGTGGTCTATAGTTGTACTTGTATGTTGAGATCCATCACAAAGAACCTACTCATTTCGTAATGGTGTTTCAGGTTACTTGGTGGGCAATGCTCGGGGCACGGCACACAGCTCAGCATAAGACATAAGGTCACGTTTATTAGCATTCAGCCATTTGGAGTCCCGACGCTCGGTTCCCGGGGGCAGCTTGAAAGTGAATTTCTGGAGCAGGGCAGAGATGAGAAGGAAGAGCTCCATTCGCGCTAAACTCTCCCCAGCACAAACACGCTTTCCTGTAGAAAAGGAGAGGACATTTTATGCATTAGACAGAGCTAAAAGCCTCCTGTTCAATTGGACATCTGGTTTCCTGAGCCACAGTGTCCTCTATCCGATCAGTCATCAGTAAGGTCACAGTTATAGAAATTGAAGACTCAGCTAGCGACACCCAATTTTATAGAGGCCGCTATAGATCACAGAATAAGGGATTGGATTCTGGAGAGGCCACTATAGGTCACAGACGGAGGGATTAGATTCTATGGAGTCCGCTACAGATCACAGACTGAGGGATTGGAATATGTAGAGACTGCTATAGATCACAGTGGAAAGCGGAAATCACAGTGGAAAGCACACACACACCTGCCACACCGCGTGCACATGCCTATGCTCACCTTCACAGTCCGTCCCCACTGCTCCTTCTTTGGTTACAGCAAAATACATTGTGCTTCCAGGTATTGCTGCTGGAGGGAGGCTTCTGCAGGGTTCTGCAAATGGCAGCCTACTTTGGGTGGAAGAGAGCAGGAAGAGAGCAGGAAGAGAGCAGGAAGAGAGCAGGAAGAGAGCAGGAAGAGAGCAGGAAGAGAGCAGGAAGAGAGCAGGAAGAATGGGTGGCCAGTGGCCACTAAAAGCAAACCTTCTCCTGTACCGACATTCACTGTGGAGTGATGGACTGCCCTTCTTCCTGTTCACGCCTGTTATGTTATATAGAACATGAACAGAGATGGAAAGGAGAAGAAGCTGCCTCCATTCCCGGACCGTTGCCATGCTGAGAACGAGGTCAGTAAGAACTGATTGAATGAGTAAACTTATGATGGGAAGATCAATTCAGCCTTAATCTCCACCTACCTCCCTTAGTGCCCTTCAGCCCCCCTGCTTCCCCTGAAGACCCTGCTCTATCCCCCTGCGGCTGCATCCTCAGGCCCATTGATTTTCAAAAATTCCCATGTATTTCCATGACAAGATGGAAGATTGACATTAGAGCCCCATATAAGCTCCAGCAGGTATTTTACAGGGGCTCTGACATAGCAAGGTAGTACAAGGTAAAAGTATAAGGTGGTGAGGTGGGCCTTTTAAGAGACCTTGGCTCTTTCCCCTGAATGGTTGAGGTGACAGAGTAACTGTAAGAACTCTCTAAGAAGCCTGACCTGCAGAAACATGTGCAATATTACGGTGAAAAAAAGAATAATGCTGTGGATTTCTCACCTGCTGAGAACGGCATGAAGGCCACCCGATTGCGGAACTGGCCCTGCTCATCCAGGAAGTGCCCGGGGTTGAACTGTTCTGGTGTCTCCCATTGAGAGGGGTCGTTAAGCACCGATGACAGGAATGGGATGATGATGGTGCCCTGGTAAAGAGAGCCAAACAGACAATCTCATCATATAGTCTCAGGGCCAATGAGATCCTATTAGTGTCTGTGACAAGCTGAATACACAACTGTAACTTATCTGACATTTAAAGTCGGTACAAAGAGGAGGCGTAGAATTGTGAATAGGGAACAGGTACAAGGGCAGTATACTACATTTTGTTAAAGTAATTTGTAAAAAGTCAGAACGAACAGGCTGCATGACATCTAAATGGTAGCTGGCCATGTGCAATACAAGATAAGCAAGTGGCATGTGCCCAGTGGCGGAACTACCAGGGTCGCAGAGGTCGCAGCTGCGACCGGGCCCTGGAGTTCCGTCACTTAGAGGGGGCCCAGGACAGGAGGACAGGGGCCCCAAGTAACCACTGATTACCAGGATATTTAATATACTGATAACCGCTAATATCAGTACCGGGGCCTCTTCCTCCTGTCCTGGGCCATTCGTGCATCACGCTGCTCCCCTCACCTTGTTGCCGGGCGCAGTGTGAAGTACGATCCAGCCAATCGCAGCAGCCAATGAGTGGGAACCGGGGCTATTCCCTCCCCCTCATCACACAGCTGCCGACCATATAGCTGCCTATGTGCTATCGTAAGCTCCAACTCCCTGGGTATGAGAAGCCTGCTGCGGACATGAAGGGGGAGATATAGGGAGCTGGGAATATGAAGGGGACATGGGAGAGGAGAGTGTGGGGTCAGGGAGCTAAAAGTTGGGGACATGAAGGGGGAGATAATGGGGAGCTGGAGACATGGAAGAGGAGAGTTTTGGGTCAGGGATAGGAGAGCTGGGGTAATGGAGGAGGTAATGGGGACATGAAGGGGTAGATAATCCCCCTTCATGGATTCTTGCACCGCGGCCCAGAGGTCACTAGTTACACCTCTGCATGTGCCCATACGTCATACCCTATTACTTTCCATTTCCCTGCACATTTTATTGATCTTGGTATATCCTTTTATTTTTTTCAGCTTGGTCACATCAACATTTCCCTTCTTATCCGTACAGTCTGGCAAATATGGCCTGGCCTATATCATAGTCATATACCTTCGGGAGGGTGTATCCGCGGAAGTGCATGTCTTTGGTCACCGCGTGGAAGAGAGCAGTTGGCGCCAGGTCTAGAACTCTCTGTATTTCATGGATGGCGGCATTGGTGTATGCCAGTTGTGGTCTGTCTTCTATCCCAGGAAAGCGCAGTGACTGCGTCACCTCATCAATTTCCTGTTGGACCTTTGCTGAAATGTTAAAGGAATCTCCTGTGAACATCTACATCAAAGGGAATTAGACTTTTTATAAGGTATACTTTGAAAATGAGTGCTTCCAGCATAGAGTTTGTTGGCCAATACTAGCCAGTAATCTCAGGAGTCCGGGAAGAGAAAGGGAGCACATTGTTGCAATGCTGGGTGATTACTGAATAATTAGAGACAGTATGAGTACCACTCACCCTATTCATCTATCCAATACTTAGTTACATTAAACCCTCAGATTTTTTAACATACAATACTGAAATGCGCTCCTTACTGTAATCCATGGTTGTTTCCCTTCTCTTTGCTGCTCTTCCTTTTAAATCTGTATCTCTTCTCATGCTGGGCAGAACTTCTGTTTTGCAGCAGACTGCCTTGTCTCTGGAATGGATACATGGAGTCTGTGTATAGGTTTGCAACCCGAGCCAGCACTACAGGAAGAGGCACTCAGCTGCAAAGGGAAGTCCTCCCCAAGCATGAGAAGAGATACAGATTTAAAAGGAAGAGCAGCAAAGAGAAGGGGAACTATCATGGATTACAGTAAGGCACACATTACAGTATTGGTTTATGTTAAAAAATCTGAGGGTTTAATGTCACTTTAACACTCAGAGGGCAATCAGCTATTTCCATGCAGTCAGCAAACATCTAACCATGTCCTGCAATGCTGTGCAGTGGTTGGCTGGAGACGTCTCAGGATTTTGCTATGTTAAAGAGATGCTCAGATGAGACATTTGATGGTCAATAGAGAACATGGCCAGTGGGTGGCACGAACCATGGAGGTATAAATAAAGTTTGTTTTTAGGTTCTCGACCAGCATCTAAATGTCTTTTATGAGCACTCCTAGGACAAACAAAATCAACTTGAGCTGCCCATACATTGGTCGGATTTTGGCCAATTTCTGCCGACGTTGAGAATGAGTGCTTCCAGCATGGAGTTCGTTTGCCAATACTAGCCAGCACTTGCTGGAGTCTGGAAAGAGACCGGGAGCACAATATTGTAACGTTGAGTGATTATTGAATCATAGAGAGTATGAGTACCACTCACACTATTAATTCGCCCGGTACTTAGCAACATTCACAGGGTTATTCAGTAAGCTGCCAAAGGCAGCCGAGTGAATAGCCGAGCCGAAGTGAAGTGAACCGAACACAGTTTGGCTATCCACTTCTGGCTTGTACCGCTGATTTCAGCCGTACATCGGTTCTGTACGGCTGCCTTCGGTCAGCCGAACATGCTCCCAACAGGTCATTCTGCATTAGGCAAGGATTGTTACTGATCTTACCTTGGACATCAGGATAGTGAGCGAAGAAGACCAGGCAGAATTTTAGGCTGGAAGCGGTGGTCTCGGAACCTGCTGCCAACAGTCCCACCACGACACTCAGGAGACTGGTGTCACAGAAATCTGGGTCCTCTTCATGCTCCACCTGAGGAGACATATGGGAAGGGGGGGGGAATAACGTCAGGAGCAATGAGCGAAAAGTAAATACTACAGCAGGGCTGCAAGGACCTTAAGGTTCATTATATATCTCCATCTATCTATCTATACATATGTATGGCTGATTTATGGTAATACGCTGAACGCCCAAAGATAATTCAAAATATGGGGTTTGGTGTAGGTACCTCTTTCATCTTCAGGAGGAAGTAATCAATCAAATCTCGGGGGGCCTCAGGGTTCAGAGTGCGTTTGTGCTCCTCGATGTACTTTAGCACAAAGTTATTCAGGTAGGCGTTCTCCCTAAAGATAAACTTGGCAAAAAACGGCAGCTTGAGGAGGAGCGGGAAGACGTTGCAGGCCTGAGGTAGAGGCAAGGAGAAAAGAATGAAATAATTACAGCATAGGTCATAGCAAAACCTGCTCATTTTCCCATGTTTTATCCCTTCAAAGACCTTGCAGGTCCAGGAACATACCTGGTGATCTTGCAGAAATGCTCTCAACTCCGAATCTACAAGTGTATGGGCAACTTTAGAATTGTCATCCTGTAACAGGAAGTTACTGGCAGGACCTCCAGGTCAGGGCTGTAGCTACCATAGGGCCGAGTGAGGCACTTGCCTCAGGCTTGCCTGAGAGGGGGTACAGCCAGGGCCGGCCTGGCTGTGCACGCTCACCCCTGTTGCCATGGCGAGCACAGGGCGTCATAGAAACAGGAGTGCCAGGCGGCCAGCACAGCCACGGCTCAGTAGGGAAAAGAGGAGCGGCACAGGCTCCAGCTTCTCAGATCCCTGCTGTTCTCCCCCGCCTGTATGGGCAGAGGCAGCGGGGATCTGATGAGAAATGGAGCGCTTCAGCCAGCTCCTCTCTCCTTACTGCTCGGCCATCCTGAAGGGACATCGCTCCCTCCTCCACCCCCCAACTGGCTCAGGATGGAGAGCGGACGTATCTGTAAATATCAGTGATATTCACCAATCCTCTGTGCAGAGCAAACACTGGAGTGATTGTTGATCACTCCAGTGTTTGTAAATAACTGGGGACACATAGTACTATGTGTCCCCAGTTATGAATGAACAGGAAGTGCTTTACATCACTTCCTGTGCATGCTCAGCGTCGGGTGACATCACACATCTGCTGGGGGGGGCACAATTTTCTGTTCTTGCCTTGGGCGCAAAAGAAGCTAGCTACGGCTCTGCTCCAGGTAATTAACAAAAACAATTTGCTTAAAAAATTGTACACAGTGAGGCCCGATAGATTTTGGGTTTACATGTACTTAAAGGAGAACTATGAGGTGAGTGATTTTCACTCAGCCTCATAGTTCGAGCCGACCTGTGACAATGAAACTGTCACAGGTCGGCTCAATAGATCGGGAAGTAAGCAAACACATATCGTCGCTCGCTCACTTCTTTATCCTGTCCCTGCAGAGAGCCGTGACTGTCACTCATCGCTCCCTGCAGCGATTCCCCTCCTCCCGTTTGATCCTCCAGCACTGACTGGAGGAACGAATGGGGGAGGGGCGGGTACAGTTGGCTCAGCTTGTAGATAGGCAGAGCCAGCTGTCAATCACGCAGATGGGCGACAGTAATGTCGGGATCCGTCCCGGCTGCGGCGTCTCAGTATACTGAGCTTTGGGTGACGGGAGGATGCTAGTTTATGTCCTCCCGTTACCCTTAGGAGAACTATGAGGAAAAACACTTACCCCATAGTTCTCCTTTAAGCCTCAGTCTAAACCCTGAAGATTACTGCAGGGTAATCCCTAAACCATCAATTTGCACCCAAAATTCTGAAGCCATCACTGAATTCCCACACAATGACTTAAGTGATAAAAATACAAAAACAGGAATAAAATTGTGTCAAAAAATGTTTCACAAGAAAACCTTGTGATATGCAGGACCGGGTTGGGTTCCTCCAGTGACCTCGTACCTGGAGGCACCCAGTTCATCATCTACTATTTTACAGTACAATGTGCCCCTTATGAGGGAGACCAACCCACCACTGATAACCTACCGTGTGCAACGTAGATGAAAAGTTCCTAATGTGTCGGGAGGTGTGGGACATCAGATCGTGTAACTTCGGGTTGCTGTAGTCAAAATGTTCCCCAAACAGCACTGAGCTGACAATATTCCCAACAGCGCTGGCCACGATCAGCAGGGGATTGAATGGTTTTCCTGAAATAAGGAAAGATAAATTATGTATTTTTTTGTTTTTACAATTTCTTTAAACTTGATATTGCAAGAAAAGAAAAAAAGGTTTAATTAAAACAGATCTTCTGACAAAACATTAATATAAAATGAATAGCCACTTAAAAAAATAATGTAGAAGAAATCAGCTTTTGTTGCATCTGTAAAAAAAAAAAAATAGATCAAAGGAACTGGACTTGATGTTTTTTTTTTTAAAAGACATTTTGCTGGTCATCTGACTAGCTTCTTCATTTCAGAATTCGACATTCTGAACTGGGAAAGCTAGTTGGATGACCAGCGAAACCTCTTCAAGAAAAATACAGCAAGTCCAGTTTCTTTGATTTATTGTTTTACTAGGGATGCACCGCTACCGATACAGTATCGGTGCCGACAGGGCCAGTGCTAGACTATTTTACGCCCTAGGCAAGACCAGCTACTTGCATCCCCCAGACTCCCTCCCACGGCGCAACCCCCCACCCCCCCCCCCACCCCAGGGGGGCTTCCTCTCCCCCACG